AATCTGCGCTGTTAGCAGTGCAGGCCACTGCACAGCATGCACGTGGACACACTGTTGGGATCCGCTGCAGACACACCCTGATAAACCAAGTATGCGCAACCTGCCAAGCTGATTACTTGCACTTGTTTATTACTCTGTAGTTATACACTATCAAGTGTTTCAACTCGCTAGTTATGGACTTTTAAGTGTGCAACTCGTCTGTTGAACACTTCCTTAGATTGGTGGTTGACGGTGTGGGGCCTGCTCAACAGAGGAGTTGCACACTTACAAGTGCACATCAACCATGTTCAACACTTGCAAGTGCACACCGACCGACCGTGTTGATAACTGGCAAGTGCACGGCTGGGGAGTTGGACTCTTGCAAGTATTCAACTTCCAGTTGCACACTTGGTTTATCAGTGCAGCGCAGCCAATCTGATCGCAACACAAAGATAGGACCTCGCAATAATTTCTCTCACGGCAATATTTTGATTCCTTTATCGAGAGGCAGAATTTCGACTATTACGCCCCAAACACGCCCGGAAAAGGTGTGTGAAGTGCAACCTTTTGGTTCTCACGCATACGCGTACACTCTGTTCTCTGCCCAAAGCGAGCAGCCTGAAAGGTAGGCAATTTGTGCCACAAAACCCCTGCATGTAGGCAACCGACAGTTCGCCCCCCCCCCGGCAGCCGGACCTTAATCCGCCACTGTCAATTACGCGCCAAACACGCCCGGAAAAGGTGTGCAAAGTGCAACCTTTTGGTTCTCACGCATACGCGTACACTCTGTTCTCTGCCCAAAGCGAGCAGCCTGGGGCGCCGCCGCCGCCGCGGGCGGGCCGGCGGAACATCAGCAGCTTTCTTGATGACACCTCTCATGACCGGCCTGATAGGGGTTGCTTCGTAAACACGCTGCGCGCCTCATTCATGATGAGCAAGTTTCACTCACTCACTGCGGGGAGCTCCCCGCACCGTGCGTATACCGCCCGTGAGTCATTCGGCCTTATCGACGTGATCTGCACGGACCACCACCACCAGCCGCAAAAGTACGGGGGCATCATCATTCACGCCGGAAACACAGGTGTGTGAACGTCGCACACTTGCAGGCGTGTGAACGCCATTGCGAACACATGGAGGCACAAAGGTGTGAACTTCAAAGGAAAATTTACGTCTTTGCTCCCTGATGTGTATTAGGTATCAAGGTATCAAGTGTATTCATTCATATACCTGCGTTTCCAGTGCAGCTTAGCGTTTCTTTTAGCAGTCCTCTCGTCCGTTACCGATTAGCATCTGTTTCGCTTCTTGTTGCAGACTGTCAAAAAGTGCCCTCTAAATCAGAAAGACTGCCAGAGAGCACTCACAACAGGCCAACAGTTGGCCAGTCGAAACAGATGATTGCCAATATTTCGGCAAACCAAAAACGATAGCCACGGCGGGCGATTTGAGTGTATTGGAAAGATGGTAGGGGCAGGCAGGCAACTGTAGGGCACTAGAAACGTATTGAGCCCATACCGCAGCCAGTCCGTCGGCTTGTCCGTCGGCTTTCTCCCGCTGCGCCGGCCACCCGACTCTGCCGCCGTCAGCAGGTGCCCGTAGGCCTATAGCTGCATGGCGACGCTGTTGGCCGCCACGGGCGCGGCGGCGGCGACGGCCGCAGTTTTCATTTTTCTTTTTTCTGCCGATTGCGCGGAAGTAAAAGAGACTGCTGCTCGATTTAGCAGCGCGAGGCGGCACAGCGCGCACAGCGCCGCCCCGGGCACCATGCACGTGCACATCAGCAGAAGCATATTGCAACATCGACATTCGCAGTTCATTTACACTCGGAATAAACTGGCCGGGCTGGAGGGCACGCAAGTCACAGGGAAAGTGGACAAAGTCAACTATTACCAGTCTCGTATCGTCCTAAAATTGGTCGGCTCCGGTCAGCGGCGGAGACTTTCCTGGGCCGGGCCGGGCCGCTCCGGGCGGCGGGCTGGAGCCCCTCGCACGCAGGCAGACCCGCCGCGCCGCCCTGCCCGACGGGCGTGCCGACCGCGCCGGCGCCGTGGCGGGACGGGCGGCCAGGTGAGTCTGATAGGGCGCGCTGCAGCCCTGCCACGTCCCGACCGTCCAGATCATCCCTCCGACAACCAGTCACGTATATCCTCCAGGGGTGGGGGGTGGGGGAAAAAAGCCCCAATAATAATCAGTGTACAGCACGAAAAACTTGGGGGGAAAAGGCAGGGAAAAAATCACGGAAAAATCAAGAAAAACCAGGAATGATTTCTGGAAAATATCGAAGAAACGTCGGAAAATAAAATTAAAAACTCAAGAAAAAACAGCTTGAGAACTCGTCTGTCAGGCAGCGCTCGTCTCGTGTCAGTCAGCCAGCAAGCATTGTCAGTTGGCCGGTCAGCCCGTTAGTCTGTTTCTCTGTTGGACTCGTACCCCCAAAACAGCGCGCTTGTGTGTTTCTCTTGTCGCAGCGCAGCCCGCGGCCGCCCACTGCCACAACACCTCGTCACATGTGCGTCGCACCGGCGCGGCGGCCTGCTTGACCTGCTTGGCGCGCTGTTTGTTGTGGACGGCTGTGGACACCTTGTTTGTCTCGGACAGGAGAAAGGGGGGCGGCGGCGGTGGAGGAGG